CATACGGCAAATCGCACATAATATTCAAACACGGATTAAGTACGTCCTAGCCCAGTCTAACACTGCTGACATAAGCCGACAAGATAAGTCCTGTTAGCATTAACGTAATCTGGTAACCGATAATAGCAACGACGTCGTAGACTGCGCATACTGTCATTGCTATGACCGGTAAATCCGTTCCGCGTAAGATAATATAATGTAGAATTATATGAAAGTTTACATCGCAAATGCAAACAATCCGTCACTACGACAACTAGAGCCTGAGCCGAACCAATGTTCATTTCCATTATATATCATCGTCCATCTACACAGTGCCGCGTTGTTCCGCCCGGACATCCCCCTCCCCCTTCCGCGCGGTAACTACTTTAAGATGACAGTGGAGGGCTTGTCGGAGCATTTTCCTTAAAAATGCTATACATATGGACCCACTGTGTCCCAAGCCAGAGGGGGCCAACACTGTCACTCTGATATTACGTGTGTGCACGGTTACTGGTAACTGCAGTAACCTTGGTAAGTGCTAGTCACGGGCGAGGCGAGTGACCTGAGTTGGTCCCGGTGTTGGTCCGCTGAAAATAGGTCATTTCTTTACATGAATCCGGTTTGAGGTTAGATTAGCCATGACCAGGAAAATAACAAAAAGAAAACGTCTTTCGAACGTGATGTATGTATGTTGGTGTACTTTGTCCTATGTAGGATTATTGATGTTAGATTAAAGAATGGGTATGTCAGTACAATGAACTCTGCTTTGAACTTTCAAAAATCTCAACCAGATTGTTACGAGTCTCATTTTATATTCAGGCAAACACGGACATGTTTTGATGTGTGCAGAGCGTGTGATTGTTGGTTTATAGGGCATCGCCGCAATTACACCAATTCGAAACGCGAATACTCGTGCACTAACAGCCGTGTGTATATACTATAGGCCTCTGACGATAACGAGCCCGAAAAAATCTGATTTCGGATTTGGATCTGGCGTGTTTTTGCTAATCGGTAATAGAAACATGACGATCTGATTATTAATTATGAAATACCCTCCATTGTACTTCCTACCAATCAAACGGAATAAATAAATAATAATTAAATTCATATTTCAAAATCTTACGTCTTTCGACAACAAAAGAGACCTCGTGTACGATGCAACACAATCGCGTCACTTCTGTTGTTGTTTTGCCATTTTGTGTATATAATTCAAATTAGCTTCATCCACAAACTCTGTCGGCGTCTAAATTGCTTCTCCAAATGAATCATGGACCCCAGCTGGAAAGATCACTGATCACCACGGCAACAAGCAACAGCCATCGCGCATCGCTCTAACGAGAATGCAAGTCCCCCAACCGAGGAGAATATTGGTTCATGACGTAAACAATTAGTGTGTTTGAAAATTCATTACTCATTGTAGCAATTTCCCGCCTTCCGATTGGAAAACGGTTTTACAGCCTCCAATAAGGACGTGGGCGTAATGACCGTTTAATAATTTACAAATATTGATATTTGCTCGATGTGTATGTAATGGTTGCTTCCACTTCTAATCCCTAAACTTGAAAATACTAAGATAATACTAATTTCTCGAATGTAAATGTGTTGTGGCGCATGTTGGTAATCTACACGAGAAATGGCGCGCGTCGTAAAACCAAAGTTAATTGCGCGTTACTATTTTCTTACGTGTGTAAAGTTAAAGCGCGATAGTTTTACTCACTTGCACATGATTCGATATCTGTTAGTCCTCGCCCGACTACAAAGCATTATGGGTAACTTTAGGTATTTGTGCTCAATATTACATAGATATCGATACTTACAATAAATGCTAAAATACGCTTTCGGCTCCGGCATCAATAATACTATGGTCATGACCAACATACCTTTGGCAGGCAACAAATCGTAATATTGCTCTCACAAAACTTGTGTTATTATTTAACTGCCGCACAAAGCGCAAGAAAAAAAACGCATTTTTATAACGTAAAATTTGCAATAATTTTATTATTTTCGGCAATGAGTATATCCTGATTTTCGTGTTCTGCTTATTTAGCCGAATACTTCTGTTACCGCGATAGAAAACACATTTAGTTTCAGGGGCAGACATGGCTACGACCAATCGGCTCGCTGGATTCAGACTATGCACGCAATAATATGAATTTTCTATAACCACAAATGCATTAGTTTTCTCCCAAAAAGTGTAAGCACGCCACGAAGGAAGCTTTTTATTCAGTTTAGGCACGAGTCTACGTTAAAAAAGCAATGAATATCTTCTTAAATGATTCAGAGCTTCTCCAAATGCGATGTTCCGTCTCACAAATTAGCCCTTGTTAGAAGACTTCAATGATCTAAGCCGGCTAATGCGCGGAATATACTACGCTGATTGAATGTGACACTAAGTATCCCTGCTAATACTATCAGCCGTCTTTACACACTATAGCACTCACACCAAGCTGTGCCACCTGTTAGTGTGTAATCTCCTGTCCTACACAATGTAAGCAAATCTCGTGCTGCTTGCAAATCTCCCACCACGCGTGATCTCCCACTAAAGCAGTGCGGTCGGCGCCTATAAAATTGGTGGCAATATTCGTGTACGTGTATGACTGAAATGACGTTAAAATATAGTACTTCATGACATTTCTTTTCAAGAAAAACCAAACCGCTGAAGCAGAAGACACTTTGAAGTCCATTAATTTTGACCGCAACAAATTTTAGTACTTTGGTTAGATGCAATCTCAAACATGTGACGAACCGAGAGAAGGAATCAGTTGATAATTCCCCTTTTCAATAAGTCATACCATCCAGACACGTTTTGTGACGTCATTGTTATTCATTTGAACAGTAATCATACGTCAAGAACATAGTTTTAAATGACGAACGACTCTGATATTGTCACTTTGCTTTTAGCCACCGTGATTTCTGCTTCACAGTCACGCTTCATTGCCACAGACATGCAGGCAACTTGTATTACTGAATATGCGGTTCAAACAACGTAAATAGCAAGTCGCCGGTTTCTCTTGGCCTTCTAGAAAGAGGGCTGACCAATCACTCCGGACAGTTGGAATAAGTGTCCAAACGTACCGAGGTCAAGGGTACATTATTTAAATTTCATGTTGCATATGGTACGCTTTGGAATATGATTTCATATGCTGATAAACTAAACTATAAACTTTACAGATTCACTATTGCTACAACTTGACCTTGGCAGTGTAGCGCGGTGGTCGTCGCGCTGCGCATGTGTGACATTTGTGTTGATAAGCATTCATTTTCCCACAATCCAATGCGCTCTTCTAATGAAAATATCAAGTACCTTGGCGCGACTTGCACTAATTACCACCGACAAATCCTTTTTCTTTAATTTGATTTCAAAACAATGTTCCAAGATAAATATTTTTCGCAGTTTTCAAAACTACCCTCAGGTCGTATTTTTTTTATTAACCATGGAATATTTATTCTAATGTGGTATTTATTTTTTTTAATGTTTTTTTGTTCTATTTTGATTGTTAAATATCATGTTTTTTTGTTACGTGTTTCGGGCCTGTAATTGGGAGTTTAATCTCGATGTTCCTCCGAATAAATAAAATGAAAACAAAAATATCCCCCAAATTTGAACGCAAAACCCGGTATTTAAAAAAAGTTCACAAAATTTTATTATTTGACCCAGTTTAAAAACAAATTCCTTGTGAGAGTTAAAATGTCAACTTATATATATGTGAGCTTCTTTCATCCATCGGATCAAAAATAAATAAAACGAAGGCATTTAAATTATCTCACGTGACGCATATTTGTTAAATACTTCTGTTTCATTTCGAGGAAAGACACAACAAACATCTTATAGTGAGCATCGCTATGGAAGACAATCACGCAGAGTGAATATTTAAAATGAGGTGCTTTATAAATCAACATCCTTAACAAATACAAACCGTTAGTTTGATCTCGCAAGGGAAATTAAAAATTATTGATTTCCGTTCGAGAAATGCCATCATTTATTCAACTTTATTTGTTAAGACATACGACGAAATACATTACTCAGCATGGGGATGAAGATAAAGAGCCACATGTCAATTGGCTGATTCTTGGATGATTATTCAATACGACCAATTATATGCGAGGTAATAAAATGTAGTTTGGCAGCACAAACGTGACAACGTAACAAATATATGGTTACAATTTCCCTGAATAAAAAAAACATTTTAAAATTCTTCATCATAATCAACAACATCATCATCATCATCAGAGACCAAATTCTATAAATCAAAAACGATGTTCAAATTGCAGTAGTTTTGCGGATTATGGTGGAAGTACAAAAAACAAAACAAAACAAAATTACGTCATGGTTGAACCTCCTTATCAGATGTTGACTGTATTTGATTACTTGTGTGACAATGGGATAAAAACGTAATAAACACATATTTATAAAAGGATTAAAACATTAATGCAAAACCTTAAAAAGAATTACATGTCTAGGTCAATAAAACACGAGGAACAATTAAAACAATATGACTCAATGGAACACTTTGACCTTTGACCTAGATTTCGGAGTTTTTATCAGTGGATTAAAAATATTGACCTGGTCAATCATGATATGTGATTATGCAATACTGATGTATTTTCAAATATATAAAGTTACAAAAATAAAAGGTGAACATCTTGCAAAGGCATATACATGAATGATTTTTGAGTTCAACTTTACTGTCTATCAACTTTGATGCTTTTCGGGAACGAGGCATCACCGATTATTGCCTGGCACAGAAGACGCAAACTGTACAACTTTGCGCATGTGTCAACTATGATTCCAGTCAACGCTAAGCTACTGACACGATTGTGCCTGGCCTTCATTTTGAACCCCTTTTTCACGGTCGAGCAGATATTTTTGACCAATAATATGA